TTGTCTCCGTTGAACTTGTCAATGGAGGCGTTGCTGGTGGACGACATGGCGCTTGGGCTCATAACCTGTTGCATTGTAGATCGGAGCGAGGAAAGCGGAGCAAACGGAGCGGAGAGACCGAAGAGAGTAGAGCAGAAAACACTTGCCCAATAGTTGGAAGATTCGAAAGTGATTGATTATCGGGGCTTACTACTTACTACATGATTTATATGTGGTGTACATATAAATCATGTGAAGCGTCTCATCATCCTACGCGTCTAATCAACTATGGTAATTACCGTAAGAACTACGTCGTAAATACTAAGCTGAACAGGCGGTTCGGATTGGATCGGTCACGGTTACCAATACTGGTAGAAAACCGATGACCGTCAACAACCTTTTAAGCCAAAAAGATATAGAAGACAAAGCCAACCAGCACCTGTTTCTCTACTACACTGGCCTGAATTTGTCTGTATGCTCTGCTATCAAGCGTTTAAAATTGGTATCAGCACGATGGTGTAGCAACTGAATCAGCGATACTAGCCCGTCTTCTAGCATCGAACGGGTATAAAAATCAAGTACTCGCGACTTTTTTTTTAGATATCTACTCTACATTTTTTTTTAGGAAAGTGTTTGTACAGTGGTGTATTACAAATGCTATTATAGTTATCAAAGATAACAAAGCCCTTTTTAAAAATCAAATCTAAATACATGTATGATGCTCATACTCTTTATTTTACAATCTCTTCTGTGGTACGAGACACATCTATTCTGGTGTATCACTCACCAAAAAATTGTTTTGAGCATATAGCGTACTTCGAAGGTTCCTCAAAAACACATTCGAATAGCTGAATTAATCCTCTGATAATGTAAGAGCTTAAAACTCTGCTGTGTAGGTGACGTTTTAGTATAGATGCGATGTGTGTTGTCGATTGCGTACGAACAGAACGCCTAATTTCGCATAATCTTGTATGCATATGATCATCATTAAAACGATGATATGGCCCAAACTTCTATTGTTACACTAAACAAGAGCCTCGATTATTTTCACTAGAGCTATCCTAGCTATAAACAAGTAATCACAAGATCGCTCTGGATCTACTGCAAGAAAACAAAAAGTAATTCAACTGCTTCACATACTTTGCACAGTATGTTAAGAGCTAAGTTGTATTCACTCTCGAATTTATTATGAGTGCATCAGTAACAATCGGATTTATTGCATATACTGAATTGTTTAAAGGCTGGTGCTTTTGGAAGTGCATGAGGCACTGGTTTCGACTCCATAGATTCGACCCATGATAGGATATGTGTAAAATGTTCTTTTGGTATCTATCACAATAGGTCGTACAGCTGCTAGATGTATGGATAGTTCTCACTTGTAGATTGACAACTACTGATGAGGCCCCCGGGCGGGTCGCGAAACGTGTCTGGTGCGGGAATAAATCTAAGTGGTTTACTTTACTTAACTTCTACTTCCTAACAGGTGCTTATTGAGGGTTACCGGTACAATCCGAACCTAGCGCGTAGTTCTTACGAGATAGTTTTTACATCGGTAATTACCTCAGAGATGATTAGACGCGTAGGATGATTGGACGCGTGTAAATCAGGTTGATTAGATGCACCATGTGATTGGATGCAGTCTAGGGTAGGCAGAAGTTAAGACCTATAAATCAATCACTTTCGAATCCTCCCTCAAGTGAGCAAGTGTTCTCTGCTTCGTTCTCTCCGGTCTCTCCGCTTCGTTTTCTCTTCGCCTCGCGCTCAAGATACAACAGGTCATGAGCCCAAGCGCCATGTCGTCCAACAACACCTCGGCCAGTGTCTCCATCGATAAGTTCGATGGGGACAACTACTCAACCTGGTGTCGCTACATGCGCGGCGTGTTTCTGACGAAGTCAGTCTGGTACGTCGTGAACCGCGAAACGTCTCCAACCTTCACCGACACGCGAGCTTCCGACGAGTACGTCAAGGCGAGCAACATCGCGTTCGGGTTGATGTTGCTCCACATGGACGCCGACTACCACCATGTGGTCGACAACTGTGAAGAAGCATGGACAGCGTGGTCGCGGTTGAAGATGCTCTATGGCGGGTCGCAGAAGGCGGGACGCATCTACCTCAAGCGCCAGCTGTTCAGCATCAAGATGGCGGAAGGTGCCAACGTCTTGCACCATTGCAACGAAGTCTTGAACATCGGCGCCAAGCTCAGCAGCATCGGTGCCAAGATGGAAGACGAAGACATTGCGATCTGCTTGCTGCTAAGTCTCCCGAAGAGTTTCGAGAACGTGGTTCTGAACTTGGAGATGAGCAATGCAGAGCTGCGCACGCAAGATGTGGTCAAGGTGCTGACTAACGAGCACATCAAGCGACAAGGCGAGAAGATGACAACGGCAACGACAACGGTGAAGACTGAAGATGCGACAAAGGCATTCAGTACCGAGCGCAAGCCCTACCAATGCACATACTGCGGCAAGGTGGGGCACACGGCAGAGCGTTGCTGGACGAAGCAAAAGGATGAAAGTCGAGGAGCCCAACGCGGCGGCAATGGTCGTGGACGCGGGGCAAACAATGTCCAGTGGCGACATTATGATGAAGGCAACTGTAAGAAGTAGGAGTTAAGTAAAGTAAATGACTTGTATATTACCGCGCACCAGACGCGTTTCGGCCCCCCGCTGGGGGCCTCATCAGTGGTTTGTCAATCTACAAGTGAGAACTATCCATACGTCTAGCTGCCGTACGACCTATAATAATGCATAGAACCCTAAAGAACATTCTAGATATACCCTATCATGGGTCGAATCTCTGGAGTCGAATCCAGTGCATCATGCACTTACAACACTCCCCCTCGACGACATGAGATGCAGACCACTTTGGTATCGACCCGCCTGTAATCCTCACTGCTGTATCCGTGCACCATAGGAATCTTGATTGAGTCTTGCCCCTGCGCTCCAGCCAACCTCGATGATACCGAGCGTTCCAGGTATTCCAGCTCCCCCATCGTCCAGCACCATGTCACATCTTGACATCTCGTAGTCGTCGTTCGCCTTGCATGTAGTTTCCACTTCTTCTTGACCACAAATACACTTGTCACCACTTGACTTGACTCTTCCTTCGATAGCACTCGCGCATTCAGACCATCTCGCGTCACCACCCTTGCACAAACCCTTTTCGACTGCACGCGCACCGTCAACGATCCCTGTCGATGAATTCTTCGGCGCCTTACTCGTGCATCGAGCGCCTTCTCTGACGGGGTGTCCCTCGCACAAGTTGGTCCTTGGTGAGGTGTCTGCAGCGAGCACTTGGGCTCATAACCTGTAAGAAGTAGGAGTTAAGTAAAGTAAATGACTTGTATATTACCGCGCACCAGACGCGTTTCGGCCCCCCGCCGGGGGCCTCATCAGTGGTTTGTCAATCTACAAGTGAGAACTATCCATACGTCTAGCTGCCGTACGACCTATAATAATGCATAGAACCCTAAAGAACATTCTAGACATACCCTATCCTGGGTCGAATCTCTGGAGTCGAATCCAGTGCATCATGCACTTACAACAGCAGCAGCTACGATCGAGTGGCGTTTGCAGTTTCGTTCGAATGCGGAGTTTCGACGAACAAGAATGGACCAGGAATGTGGGCCGTTGACAGCGGGGCAACACATCACATCTGCCACGACAAGTTCAAGTTTGCAAGCTTGGTCGAAGGCAATGATGGCGAGATTGTTGTAAGTGCATGATGCACTGGATTCGACTCCAGAGATTCGACCCATGATAGGGTATGTCTAGAATGTTCTTTAGGGTTCTATGCATTATTATAGGTTGTACGGCAGCTAGAAGTATGGATAGTTCTCACTTGTAGATTGACAAACCACTGATGAGGCCCCCGGCGGGGGGCCGAAACGCGTCTGGTGCGCGGTAATATACAAGTCATTTACTTTACTTAACTCCCACTTCTTACAGGTTATGAGCCCAAGTGCTCGCTGCAGACACCTCACCAAGGACCAACTTGTGCGAGGGACACCCCGTCAGAGAAGGCGCTCGATGCACGAGTAAGGCGCCGAAGAATTCATCGACAGGGATCGTTGACGGTGCGCGTGCAGTCGAAAAGGGTTTGTGCAAGGGTGGTGACGCGAGATGGTCTGAATGCGCGAGTGCTATCGAAGGAAGAGTCAAGTCAAGTGGTGACAAGTGTATTTGTGGTCAAGAAGAAGTGGAAACTACATGCAAGGCGAACGACGACTACGAGATGTCAAGATGTGACATGGTGCTGGACGATGGGGGAGCTGGAATACCTGGAACGCTCGGTATCATCGAGGTTGGCTGGAGCGCAGGGGCAAGACTCAATCAAGATTCCTATGGTGCACGGATACAGCAGTGAGGATTACAGGCGGGTCGATACCAAAGTGGTCTGCATCTCATGTCGTCGAGGGGGAGTGTTGTAAGTGCATGATGCACTGGATTCGACTCCAGAGATTCGACCCATGATAGGGTATGTCTAGAATGTTCTTTAGGGTTCTATGCATTATTATAGGTCGTACGGCAGCTAGACGTATGGATAGTTCTCACTTGTAGATTGACAAACCACTGATGAGGCCCCCGGCGGGGGGCCGAAACGCGTCTGGTGCGCGGTAATATACAAGTCATATACTTTACTTAACTCCCACTTCTTACAGAGATCCTGGTGGCTGATGGCAACAACGCGGCTGTTGACGGTCATCGGTTTTCTACCAGTATTGGTAACCGTGACCGATCCAATCCGAACCGCCTGTTCAGCTTAGTATTTACGACGTAGTTCTTACGGTAATTACCATAGTTGATTAGACGCGTAGGATGATGAGACGCTTCACATGATTTATATGTACACCACATATAAATCATGTAGTAAGTAGTAAGCCCCGATAATCAATCACTTTCGAATCTTCCAACTATTGGGCAAGTGTTTTCTGCTCTACTCTCTTCGGTCTCTCCGCTCCGTTTGCTCCGCTTTCCTCGCTCCGATCTACAATGCAACAGGTTATGAGCCCAAGCGCCATGTCGTCCACCAGCAACGCCTCCATTGACAAGTTCAACGGAGACAATTACGCAACGTGGAGCCGGTACATGCGCGGTGTGTTTTTGACGAAGTCCGTCTGGCACGTTGTCAACCGTGAAGTGACTCCGACTTTCACCGACCCGCGAGCGTCCGATGACTACGTCAAGGCAAGCAACGTCGCGTTTGGTATGATGCTGCTGCACATGAACGCGGACTACCATCATGTGCTGGACAACTGCGAGGAAGCCTGGGTTGCGTGGACAAGTCTGAAGACGCTGTACGGTGGGTCGCAAAAGGCAGGACGCATCTACCTCAAGCGACAACTTTTCAGTATCAAGATGGCTGAAGGCGCGAACGTCATGCATCACTGCAACGAGGTCCTCAACATCTCCGCCAAGCTTAGCGGCATCGGTGCGAAGATGGAAGACGAAGACGTTGCAATTTGTCTGCTACTCAGTCTTCCGAAGAGCTACGAAAATGTGGTGCTCAACATGGAAATGAGCAGCACCGAGCTTCGCACTCAAGATGTGGTGAGAGTCCTGACGAATGAGCATGCCAAGCGTCAAGGAGAAAAAGGGACAACGACAGCGACTACGGTGAAGGCTGAAGATGCAAGCAAGGCATTCAGCGCCGAGCGTGAGCCCTACCAATGCACGTATTGTGGCAAGGTGGGACACACGGTGGATCGTTGCTGGACAAAGCAGAAGAACGAAGGTCGGGGAGCCCGACGCGGCGGCAATGGTCGTGGACGCGGGGGCTAACAATGTCCAGTGGGGACATCATGATGAAGGCAATGGCTACGATCGAGTGGCGTTTGCAGTCTCGTTCGAATGTGGAGTTTCGACGAGCAAGGACGTGTCTGGAATGTGGGCCGTCGACAGTGGTGCAACGCACCACATTTGCCACGACAAGACCAAGTTCGCAAGTTTGGCAGAGCGCAATGAGGGCGAACTCTTGGTGGCTGATGGCAACAAGGTGGCCATCAAGGGTGTGGGAACCATCATGGAAAAGGTGGTTCTGCCCAACGGTGAAGAGCGTGAGATCGAAATCAAGAACGCGCTATATGTTCCAAGTATGAGCAAGAACCTGCTCTCGGTGCCACAGATTAACAGCCATGGCAAGTTTCAAGTCGTGTTTGACGGGTCCAAGATGTATGTGACTCTCAAGAACTCACAGCAAGTGGTGGCGACAGCGGATCTCGTGGATGGACTCTACTGGCTTCGGACGACTCAACGATCAGCGAATGTGACAACAAGTGGAACCAGTTGTGCCGATCTACATGCGAGAATGGGTCATGCTCCAGTCGATGTACTTCGCAAGATGATCGCGACCAACATGATCAAGGATGTGCGAGTCCCTCTCAAGTCGGGTGGAGCAACTACATGTCGAGGATGTCAACAAGGGAAAATGGTCCAAAAACCATTTCCAAGCAACCGAGACAAGCGCAGCTACGATACGTTTGAGCTACTTCATCTGGACATCTGCGGGCCCATGGAAAAGGATTCGCTCGGTGGCAGCAAATATTTGCTGCTGATCATCGACGAAGCCAGTGGATGCATGAAGGGCTTTTGTCTACGAGTGAAGTCCGAGAGTGAAGACTACATCCGGAAATATATCACCATGGTACAGACGCAATTCTGTAAGAAGGTCAAGTTCGTGCGACACGACGGAGCTCGCGAGTTTGCAACCAACTCGCTTCAACTGTTCTACGAAGACGAAGGCATTGAACAGCAGACAACGGTGCCGTATGCACATCAAACAAACGGAACAGCAGAGCGTGCCATTAGGACTATTGTCACGATCGGCCGCAGCATGCTTCATCATGCCAAACTGGACAAGTGTTTCTGGGCCGAAGCAGCGATGACGGCCATCTACGTCAAGAATCGACTGCCGTCACCTAAAGTCGTGCACAAGACCCCGTTTGAGATCGTCTACAACTTGAAACCAAGCGTCAAGCACATGCGAACATTCGGGTGTCAGACATACATACTGACGCCTAAAGAGAATCGACTCAAGTGGGATCCAAAGGCTCGCGCTGGCATATTCGTGGGCTACGAAGAAGTTTCGAAGGCATATCGTGTTTATGACATCGAGGCGGGGCAGGTGGTGTTGCATTGTAGATCGGAGCGAGGAAAGCGGAGCAAACGGAGCGGAGAGACCGAAGAGAGTAGAGCAGAAAACACTTGCCCAATAGTTGGAAGATTCGAAAGTGATTGATTATCGGGGCTTACTACTTACTACATGATTTATATGTGGTGTACATATAAATCATGTGAAGCGTCTCATCATCCTACGCGTCTAATCAACTATGGTAATTACCGTAAGAACTACGTCGTAAATACTAAGCTGAACAGGCGGTTCGGATTGGATCGGTCACGGTTACCAATACTGGTAGAAAACCGATGACCGTCAACACGCCCCCTCAATCCGAATGCTCACGAATCCCGAGAGTCGCCGTCATCTCCTTGTGGCGTGGCCCGTGAAGTCCCTTCGTCATGATGTCCGCTAACATCACCGCAGTTTCACAGTACTTGAGCTTCACTTCACCGCGCTTGACCTCATCACGGATGTGATGGTACTTGATATCAATGTGCTTGGCACGGCCGTGGTTGACTGGGTTCTTCGTCATCTTGATACACGACTGATTGTCTTCATGGATCATGAGTTCCGGTCCTTCTTCATTGGCAGCCATCACGATCTCACAAAGCAGACGATGAATCCACTTGCCCTCTTGAATCGCCAAGCTGAGTGCGATGTATTCGGCTTCACTCGTGGACAACGAAACACTTGGCTGCTTCTTGCTGCCCCAACTGACTGGCGCACCGAGTAGCATGAACGTGTACCCCGATGTTGACTTGCGGTCGGTAAGATCACCAGCCCAATCCGCATCCGAATATCCACGGAAGTCGATCCTTGCACTTGGCTTGTAGCAAATTCCATGCGTCTTGGTGCCTTGTAGGTAGCGAAAGATACGCTTAACTGCAACCCAGTGTTCTTCTTGGGGATTTTCCATCAACCGCGACACATAGCCCACAGCAAACGCAATGTCCGGACGCGTTGCAGTGGTCAGGTGCATCAACGCACCAACAGCTTCGCGAAAAGGAGCATCGACCTTGGTAGTTGCATCACTTGAAGCAAGTCGAGAGCTCATGTCGACTGGACTTGCGACTGCCTTGCAATCATCCATGCCAAAGCGCTTGAGGATATCATCGACATACCGACGCTGACATAGTGTCACACTGCCATCTTCACCGTCCAAAGCTCGATCCCAAGAACAAACGCACACTTGCCGCTGTCCGTCATTTCGAACCGCGTCTTCAGGTCGTTCTTGGTTTGTGCAATCAGCTCGAGTGAGCTTCCAGTCACCAAGACGTCGTCCACGTAGACCAGTATAAACACGCAATGGCCGTCCGAAGTCTTGATGTAGAGACATGGGTCGAAGTCCGATACTTGAAATCCGATGGAGCACACATACTCGTCGAACGTCTCGTTCCACACTCGCGACGCTTGCTTGAGGCCGTAAATTGACTTCACCAATTCCAGGCAGTCGAACGTACTGTCAAGTTCGACGCCTTCAGGAATCACGCAGAACACTTGTTCCTTCATGACGCCATACAGGAAAGCTGTCACCACATCAAGCTGGTCGATGGGCCATCCAAAATGCTTGGAAATTGCGATCACCATTCGCAGCGTCACATACTTGACCACAGGCGAAAACGTCTCCGTGTAGTCGATGCCATACTTTTGGCGGAAACCCTTGGCCACAAGTCGTGCCTTGTACTTCTCGATTGACCCATCCGCCTTGCGCTTGATCTTGAACACCCATTTTGTGCCAATGGCGCGTTGTCCGTTGGGCAGCTTGGCTGCACGAAACACACCGCGAAGTTATTGAGGGTTACCGGTACAATCCGAACCTAGCGCGTAGTTCTTACGAGATAGTTTTTACATCGATAATTACCTCAGAGATGATTAGACGCGTAGGATGATTGGACGCGTGTAAATCAGGTTGATTAGATGCACCATGTGATTGGATGCAGTCTAGGGTAGGCAGAAGTTAAGACCTATAAATCAATCACTTTCGAATCCTCCCTCAAGTGAGCAAGTGTTCTCTGCTTCGTTCTCTCCGGTCTCTCCGCTTCGTTTTCTCTTCGCCTCGCGCTCAAGTTAAAACAGGTTATGAGCCCAAGCGCCATGTCGTCCAACAACACCTCGGCCAGTGTCTCCATCGATAAGTTCGATGGGGACAACTACTCAACCTGGTGTCGCTACATGCGCGGCGTGTTTCTGACGAAGTCAGTCTGGTACGTCGTGAACCGCGAAACGTCTCCAACCTTCACCGACACTGTTGCATGGTAGATCGGAGCGAGGAAAGCGGAGCAAACGGAGCGGAGAGACCGAAGAGAGTAGAGCAGAAAACACTTGCCCAATAGTTGGAAGATTCGAAAGTGATTGATTATCGGGGCTTACTACTTACTACATGATTTATATGTGGTGTACATATAAATCATGTGAAGCGTCTCATCATCCTACGCGTCTAATCAACTATGGTAATTACCGTAAGAACTACGTCGTAAATACTAAGCTGAACAGGCGGTTCGGATTGGATCGGTCACGGTTACCAATACTGGTAGAAAACCGATGACCGTCAACACGCCCCCTCAATCCGAATGCTCACGAATCCCGAGAGTCGCCGTCATCTCCTTGTGGCGTGGCCCGTGAAGTCCCTTCGTCATGATGTCCGCTAACGTCACCGCAGTTTCACAGTACTTGAGCTTCACTTCACCGCGCTTGACCTCATCACGGATGTGATGGTACTTGATATCAATGTGCTTGGCACGGCCGTGGTTGACTGGGTTCTTCGTCATCTTGATACACGACTGATTGTCTTCATGGATCATGAGTTCCGGTCCTTCTTCATTGGCAGCCATCACGATCTCACAAAGCAGACGATGAATCCACTTGCCCTCTTGAATCGCCAAGCTGAGTGCGATGTATTCGGCTTCACTCGTGGACAACGAAACACTTGGCTGCTTCTTGCTGCCCCAACTGACTGGCGCACCGAGTAGCATGAACGTGTACCCCGATGTTGACTTGCGGTCGGTAAGATCACCAGCCCAATCCGCATCCGAATATCCACGGAAGTCGATCCTTGCACTTGGCTTGTAGCAAATTCCATGCGTCTTGGTGCCTTGTAGGTAGCGAAAGATACGCTTAACTGCAACCCAGTGTTCTTCTTGGGGATTTTCCATGAACCGCGACACATAGCCCACAGCAAACGCAATGTCCGGACGCGTTGCAGTGGTCAGGTGCATCAACGCACCAACAGCTTCGCGAAAAGGAGCATCGACCTTGGTAGTTGCATCACTTGAAGCAAGTCGAGAGCTCATGTCGACTGGACTTGCGACTGCCTTGCAATCATCCATGCCAAAGCGCTTGAGGATATCATCGACATACCGACGCTGACATAGTGTCACACTGCCATCTTCACCGTCCAAAAGCTCGATCCCAAGAACAAACGCACACTTGCCGCTGTCCGTCATTTCGAACCGCGTCTTCAGGTCGTTCTTGGTTTGTGCAATCAGCTCGAGCGAGCTTCCAGTCACCAAGACGTCGTCCACGTAGACCAGTATAAACACGCAATGGCCGTCCGAAGTCTTGATGTAGAGACATGGGTCGAAGCCTGATACCTGAAATCCAATGGAGCACACATACTCGTCGAACGTCTCGTTCCACACTCGCGACGCTTGCTTCAGGCCGTAAATTGCCTTCACCAATTCCAGGCAGTCGAACGTACTGTCAAGTTCGACGCCTTCAGGAATCACGCAGAACACTTGTTCCTTCATGACGCCATACAGGAAAGCTGTCACCACATCAAGCTGGTCGATGGGCCATCCAAAATGCTTGGAAATTGCGATCACCATTCGCAGCGTCACATGCTTGACCACGGGCGAAAACGTCTCCGTGTAGTCGATTCCATACTTTGAGCGAAAGCCCTTTGCCGCGAGACGTGCCTTGTACTTCTCGATGGACCCATCCGCCTTGCGCTTGATCTTGAACACCCATTTTGTGCCAATGGCGCGTTGTCCGTTGGGCAGCTTGGCTGCACGAAACACACCGCGAAGTCGCATTGACTCGAGCTCTGCATGAATTGCTTTTCTCCAGTGCACTTGGTCAGGGCCGCTTACTGCTGCTTCAAATGTTGAGGGTTCTGATAAGTCCACTGCTGCTTCAACGGCATTTGCACTCGCACGCCAAAACACAGGCGGTGTTGAATCACCAGAATCCTTCGTTTCTTCGTCTTCTTCTTGTCGTGACGAGTTGTTTTCCGGCGCGCTTGACTCTTCTAGTCCTGGTCGTTGACGCACTGCACGCGGTCGTGGAGCTGCTGTATCTTCATCATTGAGTCGGTTCTTGCGCTTGCCTGTTTGCTTGTACTCCATTTGACGCAGCTCTTCGTCATCAAGATCCAGCAATTCGAAGTCCAGGTCATCGATATCTTCATCAGTGATCGGCACTTGAAGTCCAAAGGTGGACTCGTCGAAGTTGACATCGCGGCTGATAACCACCTGCCCCGCCTCGATGTCATAAACACGATATGCCTTCGAAACTTCTTCGTAGCCCACGAATATGCCAGCGCGAGCCTTTGGATCCCACTTGAGTCGATTCTCTTTAGGCGTCAGTATGTATGTCTGACACCCGAATGTTCGCATGTGCTTGACGCTTGGTTTCAAGTTGTAGACGATCTCAAACGGGGTCTTGTGCACGACTTTAGGTGACGGCAGTCGATTCTTGACGTAGATGGCCGTCATCGCTGCTTCGGCCCAGAAACACTTGTCCAGTTTGGCATGATGAAGCATGCTGCGGCCGATCGTGACAATAGTCCTAATGGCACGCTCTGCTGTTCCGTTTGTTTGATGTGCATACGGCACCGTTGTCTGCTGTTCAATGCCTTCGTCTTCGTAGAACAGTTGAAGCGAGTTGGTTGCAAACTCGCGAGCTCCGTCGTGTCGCACGAACTTGACCTTCTTACAGAATTGCGTCTGTACCATGGTGATATATTTCCGGATGTAGTCTTCACTCTCGGACTTCACTCGTAGACAAAAGCCCTTCATGCATCCACTGGCTTCGTCGATGATCAGCAGCAAATATTTGCTGCCACCGAGCGAATCCTTTTCCATGGGCCCCGCAGATGTCCAGATGAAGTAGCTCAAACGTATCGTAGCTGCGCTTGTCTCGGTTGCTTGGAAATGGTTTTTGGACCATTTTCCCTTGTTGACATCCTCGACATGTAGTTGCTCCACCCGACTTGAGAGGGACTCGCACATCCTTGATCATGTTGGTCGCGATCATCTTGCGAAGTACATCGACTGGAGCATGACCCATTCTCGCATGTAGATCGGCACAACTGGTTCCACTTGTTGTCACATTCGCTGATCGTTGAGTCGTCCGAAGCCAGTAGAGTCCATCCACGAGATCCGCTGTCGCCACCACTTGCTGTGAGTTCTTGAGAGTCACATACATCTTGGACCCGTCAAACACGACTTGAAACTTGCCATGGCTGTTAATCTGTGGCACCGAGAGCAGGTTCTTGCTCATACTTGGAACATATAGCGCGTTCTTGATTTCGATCTCACGCTCTTCACCGTTGGGCAGAACCACCTTTTCCATGATGGTTCCCACACCCTTGATGGCCACCTTGTTGCCATCAGCCACCAAGAGTTCGCCCTCATTGCGCTCTGCCAAACTTGCGAACTTGGTCTTGTCGTGGCAAATGTGGTGCGTTGCACCACTGTCGACGGCCCACATTCCAGACACGTCCTTGCTCGTCGAAACTCCACATTCGAACGAGACTGCAAACGCCACTCGATCGTAGCCATTGCCTTCATCATGATGTCCCCACTGGACATTGTTAGCCCCGCGTCCACGACCATTGCCGCCGCGTCGGGCTCCCCGACCTTCGTTCTTCTGCTTTGTCCAGCAACGATCCACCGTGTGTCCCACCTTGCCACAATACGTGCATTGGTAGGGCTCACGCTCGGCGCTGAATGCCTTGCTTGCATCTTCAGCCTTCACCGTAGTCGCTGTCGTTGTCCCTTTTTCTCCTTGACGCTTGGCATGCTCATTCGTCAGGACTCTCACCACATCTTGAGTGCGAAGCTCGGTGCTGCTCATTTCCATGTTGAGCACCACATTTTCATAGCTCTTCGGAAGACTGAGTAGCAGACAAATTGCAACGTCTTCGTCTTCCATCTTCGCACCGATGCCGCTAAGCTTGGCGGAGATGTTGAGGACCTCGTTGCAGTGATGCATGACGTTCGCGCCTTCAGCCATCTTGATACTGAAAAGTTGTCGCTTGAGGTAGATGCGTCCTGCCTTCTGCGACCCACCGTACAGCGTCTTTAGACTTGTCCACGCAACCCAGGCTTCCTCGCAGTTGTCCAGCACATGATGGTAGTCCGCGTTCATGTGCAGCAGCATCATACCAAACGCGACGTTGCTTGCCTTGACGTAGTCATCGGACGCTCGCGGGTCGGTGAAAGTCGGAGTCACTTCACGGTTGACAACGTGCCAGACGGACTTCGTCAAAAACACACCGCGCATGTACCGGCTCCACGTTGCGTAATTGTCTCCGTTGAACTTGTCAATGGAGGCGTTGCTGGTGGACGACATGGCGCTTGGGCTCATAACCTGTTGCATGGTAGATCGGAGCGAGGAAAGCGGAGCAAACGGAGCGGAGAGACCGAAGAGAGTAGAGCAGAAAACACTTGCCCAATAGTTGGAAGATTCGAAAGTGATTGATTATCGGGGCTTACTACTTACTACATGATTTATATGTGGTGTACATATAAATCATGTGAAGCGTCTCATCATCCTACGCGTCTAATCAACTATGGTAATTACCGTAAGAACTACGTCGTAAATACTAAGCTGAACAGGCGGTTCGGATTGGATCGGTCACGGTTACCAATACTGGTAGAAAACCGATGACCGTCAACAGACACGCGAGCTTCCGACGAGTACGTAAAGGCGAGCAACATCGCGTTCGGGTTGATGTTGCTCCACATGGACGCCGACTACCACCATGTGGTCGACAACTGTGAAGAAGCATGGACAGCGTGGTCGCGGTTGAAGATGCTCTATGGTGGGTCGCAGAAGGCGGGACGCATCTACCTCAAGCGCCAGCTGTTCAGCATCAAGATGGCGGAAGGTGCCAACGTCTTGCACCATTGCAACGAAGTCTTGAACATCGGCGCCAAGCTCAGCAGCATCGGTGCCAAGATGGAAGACGAAGACATTGCGATCTGCTTGCTGCTCAGTCTCCCGAAGAGTTTCGAGAACGTGGTTCTGAACTTGGAGATGAGCAATGCAGAGCTGCGCACGCAAGATGTGGTCAAGGTGCTGACTAACGAGCACATCAAGCGACAAGGCGAGAAGATGACAACGGCAACGACAACGGTGAAGACTGAAGATGCGACAAAGGCATTCAGTACCGAGCGCAAGCCCTACCAATGCACATACTGCGGCAAGGTGGGGCACACGGCAGAGCGTTGCTGGACGAAGCAAAAGGATGAAAGTCGAGGAGCCCAACGCGGCGGCAATGGTCGTGGACGCGGGGCAAACAATGTCCAGTGGCGACATTATGATGAAGGCAACAGCTACGATCGAGTGGCGTTTGCAGTTTCGTTCGAATGCGGAGTTTCGACGAACAAGAATGGACCAGGAATGTGGGCCGTTGACAGCGGGGCAACACATCACATCTGCCACGACAAGTTCAAGTTTGCAAGTTTGGTCGAAGGCAATGATGGCGAGATCCTGGTGGCTGATGGCAACAAGGTGGTCATCAAAGGTGTGGGGACCATCGTGGAAAAGGTGATTCTGCCAAACGGGGAAGAGCGCGAGATCGAGATCAAGAACGCGCTCTATGTGCCCAGCATGAGCAAAAATCTGCTCTCGGTGCCGCAGATTAACAAGCACGGCAACTTCCAAGTGGTGTTTGACGGGGATACGATGTACGTCGCTCGCAAGGATTCCAATCAAGTGGTGGCAGCTGCGGATCTGGTAGACGGACTCTACTGGCTTCGCACGACGCAGCGATCGGCCAATGCGACATCACTCAGCAACGCTGTTGATCTACATGCGCGAATGGGCCATGCTCCAGTCGACGTGCTTCGCAGGATGGTGACAAGCCACATGATCAAGGACGCTCACATCCCTTCCAAGCCGAATGGATCAAGTGTGTGTCGAGGATGCCAAGAAGGGAAGATGGTCCAAAAACCATTCCCGAGCAACCGTGACAAGCGCACCTACAACACCTTCGAGATGCTCCACTTCGACATCTGCGGACCCATGGAAGAAAAATCTCTGGGTGGCAGCAAGTATCTGCTGCTGATCGTGGATGAAGCCAGCGGATGCATGAAGGGTTTTTGTCTGCATTCCAAGTCAGAGAGCGAAGAGTGCATCAAGAAGTACATCACGATGATACAGACGCAGTTCAACAAGAAGGTCAAATTTGTGCGACACGATGGAGCCCGCGAGTTTGCGACGAACTCGCTTCAAGATTTCTACGAAGTCGAAGGCATCGAGCAACAAACCACGGTGCCATACGCACATCAAGCCAATGGAACTGCTGAACGCGCGATTCGAACTATCGTCACCATCGGTCGTAGCATGCTCCATCATGCCAAGTTGGACAAGTGCTTCTGAATTGAAGCGGCAATGACGACCGTCTATGTGAAGAACCGTTTGCCGTCACCCAAGATTCCACACAAGACACCGTTCGAGATTGTCTACAATTCTAAGCCAAGTGTCAAGCACATGCGCGTTTTTGGGTGCCAAGCATACATCTTGACCCCGAAGGAGAAACGACTCAAGTGGGATCCCTGGCCCGGACCAAGTACACTGGCGCAAGGCAATTGATGCGGAGCTCGATTCGATGAAGCTTCGCGGTGTCTTTCGTGCGGCCAAGTTACCCAACGGACAAAGCGCCATTGGCACAAAGTGGGTCTTCAAGATCAAGCGCAAGGCGGATGGGTCGATCGAGAAATACAAGGCACGACTTGTGGCCAAGGGTTTTCGCCAAAAGTATGGCATCGACTACACGGAGACGTTCTCGCCCGTGGTCAAGTATGTGACGCTGCGAATGGTCATCGCCATTACCAAGCACTTTGGATGGCCCCTCGACCAGCTCGATGTGGTAACTGCGTTCCTGTATGGAGTGATGAAGGAGAAGGTGTTCTGCGCTGTTCCGGAAGGCGTCAAGATGGAAGGTGATTTCGACTGTCTCGAGCTGATCAAGGCGATCTACGGTCTCAAGCAAGCCTCGCGTGTTTGGAACGAGACCTTCGACGAGTTCATACGCTCGATTGGTTTTCAAGCGTCGGGATTCGATCCATGTCTCTACATCATGACTTCGGAAGGCCATTGTGTTTTTGTGCTGGTCTACGTGGACGATGTCTTGGTGACTGGAAGCTCACTCGAGATGATTGCGCGCACCAAGAACGACCTCAAGACACGCTTCGAGATGACGGACAGCGGCAAGTGTGCCTTTGTTCTTGGGATCGAGTTATTGGACGGTGAAGATGGCAGCGTGACTATGTGTCAGCGCCGTTATGTCGACGATGTCTTCAAGCGCTTTGGAATGGATGAGTGCAAGGCTGTGGCAAGTCCGGTGGACGTCAGCTCTCGACTGGTTCCAAGCAACTCTGCAAGCAAGGTGGATGTCCCATTCCGTGAAGCAGTGGGTGCTTTGATGCATCTGACGACTGCAACGCGACCGGACATCGCCTATGCTGTAAGCTTTGCGTCACGGTTCATGGAGAAATCCCAAGAAGAACACTGGGTTGCAGTCAAGCGCATCTTCCGCTACCTACAAGGCACCAAGATGCATGGAATCTGCTACAAGCCAAGTGCGAAGATCGACTTTCGTGGCTATTCAGATGCAGACTGGGCCGGTGACCTTGCTGATCGCAAATCGACGTCCGGCTACGTCTTCATGCTATTGGGTGCTCCGGTGAGTTGGGGCAGCAAGAAACAGCCAAGTGTGTCACTGTCTACAAGCGAAGCGGAGTACATCGCGCTCAGCCTGGCGATCCAAGAAGGCAAGTGGATCAATCGCTTGCTGTGCGAGATCATGGCGGCTGCAAACGAAGAAGGACCCGAGCTCGTCATCCGTGAAGACAACCAGTCGTGCATCAAGATGACGAAGAATCCGGTCAACCACGGCCGCGCTAAACACATCGACATCAAGTACCATCACATCCGTGATGAAGTCAAGCGCGGCGAAGTGAATCTTGAATACTGCGAGACGACGTTGATGTTGGCGGACATCATGACGAAGGGACTTCACGGACCGCGTCACAAGGACTTGACGGCGGCGCTTGGCATCCGTGCGTGTTCGGATTGAGGGGGCGTATTGAGGGTTACCGGTACAATCCGAACCTAGCGCGTAGTTCTTACGAGATAGTTTTTACATCGATAATTACCTCAGAGATGATTAGACGCGTAGGATGATTGGACGCGTGTAAATCAGGTTGATTAGATGCACCATGTGATTGGATGCAGTCTAGGGTAGGCAGAAGTTAAGACTTATAAATCAATCACTTTCGAATCCTCCCTCAAGTGAGCAAGTGTTCTCTGCTTCGTTCTCTCCGGTCTCTCCGCTTCGTTTTCTCTTCGCCTCGCGCTCAAGTTACAACAGAAGTCGCATTGACTCGAGCTCTGCATGAATTGCTTTTCTCCAGTGCACTTGGTCAGGGCCGCTTACTGCTGCTTCAAATGTTGAGGGTTCTGATAAGTCCACTGCTGCTTCAACGGCATTTGCACTCGCACGCCAAAACACAGGCGGTGTTGAATCACCAGAATCCTTCGTTTCTTCGTCTTCTTCTTGTCGTGACGAGTTGTTTTCCGGCGCGCTTGACTCTTCTAGTCCTGGTCGTTGACGCACTGCACGCGGTCGTGGAGCTGCTGTATCTTCATCATTGAGTCGGTTCTTGCGCTTGCCTGTTTGCTTGTACTCCATTTGACGCAGCTCTTCGTCATCAAGATCCAGCAATTCGAAGTCCAGGTCATCGACATCTTCATCAGTGATCGGCACTTGAAGTCCAAAGGTGGACTCGTCGAAGTTGACATCGCGGCTGATAACCACCTGCCCCGCCTCGATGTCATAAACACGATACGCCTTCGAAACTTCTTCGTAGCCCACGAATATGCCAGCGCGAGCCTTTGGATCCCACTTGAGTCGATTCTCTTTAGGCGTCAGTATGTATGTCTGACACCCGAATGTTCGCATGTGCTTGACGCTTGGTTTCAAGTTGTAGACGATCTCAAACGGGGTCTTGTGCACGACTTTAGGTGACGGCAGTCGATTCTTGACGTAGATGGCCGTCATCGCTGCTTCGGCCCAGAAACACTTGTCCAGTTTGGCATGATGAAGCATGCTGCGGCCGATCGTGACAATAGTCCTAATGGCACGCTCTGCTGTTCCGTTTGTTTGATGTGCATACGGCACCGTTGTCTGCTGTTCAATGCCTTCGTCTTCGTAGAACAGTTGAAGCGAGTTGGTTGCAAACTCGCGAGCTCCGTCGTGTCGCACGAACTTGACCTTCTTACAGAATTGCGTCTGTACCATGGTGATATATTTCCGGATGTAGTCTTCACTCTCGGACTTCACTCGTAGACAAAAGCCCTTCATGCATCCACTGGCTTCGTCGATGATCAGCAGCAAATATTTGCTGCCACCGAGCGAATCCTTTTCCATGGGCCCGCAGATGTCCAGATGAAGTAGCTCAAACGTATCGTAGCTGCGCTTGTCTCGGTTGCTTGGAAATGGTTTTTGGACCATTTTCCCTTGTTGACATCCTCGACATGTAGTTGCTCCACACGACTTGAGAGGGACTCGCACATCCTTGATCATGTTGGTCGCGATCATCTTGCGAAGTACATCGACTGGAGCATGACCCATTCTCGCATGTAGATCGGCACAACTGGTTCCACTTGTTGTCACATTCGCTGATCGTTGAGTCGTCCGAAGCCAGTAGAGTCCATCCACGAGATCCGCTGTCGCCACCACTTGCTGTGAGTTCTTGAGAGTCACATACATCTTGGACCCGTCAAACACGACTTGAAACTTGCCATGGCTGTTAATCTGTGGCACCGAGAGCAGGTTCTTGCTCATACTTGGAACATATAGCGCGTTCTTGATTTCGATCTCACGCTCTTCACCGTTGGGCAGAACCACCTTTTCCATGATGGTTCCCACACCCTTGATGGCCACCTTGTTGCCATCAGCCACCAAGAGTTCGCCCTCATTGCGCTCTGCCAAACTTGCGAACTTGGTCTTGTCGTGGCAAATGTGGTGCGTTGCACCACTGTCGACGGCCCACATTCCAGACACGTCCTTGCTCGTCGAAACTCCACATTCGAACGAGACTGCAAACGCCACTCGATCGTAGCCATTGCCTTCATCATGATGTCCCCACTGGACATTGTTAGCCCCGCGTCCACGACCATTGCCGCCGCGTCGGGCTCCCCCGACCTTCGTTCTTCTGCTTTGTCCAGCAACGATCCACCGTGTGTCCCACCTTGCCACAATACGTGCATTGGTAGGGCTCACGCTCGGCGCTGAATGCCTTGCTTGCATCTTCAGCCTTCACCGTAGTCGCTGTCGTTGTCCCTTTTTCTCCTTGACGCTTGGCATGCTCATTCGTCAGGACTCTCACCACATCTTGAGTGCGAAGCTCGGTGCTGCTCATTTCCATGTTGAGCACCACATTTTCGTAGCTCTTCGGAAGACTGAGTAGCAGACAAATTGCAACGTCTTCGTCTTCCATCTTCGCACCGATGCCGCTAAGCTTGGCGGAGATGTTGAGGACCTCGTTGCAGTGATGCATGACGTTCGCGCCTTCAGCCATCTTGATACTGAAAAGTTGTCGCTTGAGGTAGATGCGTCCTGCCTTCTGCGACCCACCGTACAGCGTCTTCAGACTGGTCCACGCAACCCAGGCTTCCTCGCAGTTGTCCAGCACATGATGGTAGTCCGCGTTCATGTGCAGCAGCATCATACCAAACGCGACGTTGCTTGCCTTGACGTAGTCATCGGACGCTCGCGGGTCGGTGAAAGTCGGAGTCACTTCACGGTTGACGACGTGCCAGACGGACTTCGTCAAAAACACACCGCGCATGTACCGGCTACACGTTGCGTAATTGTCTCCGTTGAACTTGTCAATGGAGGCGTTGCTGGTGGACGACATGGCGCTTGGGCTCATAACCTGTTGCATTGTAGATCGGAGCGAGGAAAGCGGAGCGAACGGAGCGGAGAGACCGAAGAGAGTAGAGCAGAAAACACTTGCCCAATAGTTGGAAGATTCGAAAGTGATTGATTATCGGGACTTACTACTTACTACATGATTTATATGTGGTGTACATATAAATCATGTGAAGCGTCTCATCATCCTACGCGTCTAATCAACTATGGTAATTACCGTAAGAACTACGTCGTAAATACTAAGCTGAACAGGCGGTTCGGATTGGATCGGTCACGGTTACCAATACTGGTAGAAAACCGATGACCGTCAACAGGTGGTTATCAGCCGCGATGTCAACTTCGACGAGTCCACCTTTGGACTTCAACTGCCGATCACTGATGAAGATGTCGATGACCTGGACTTCGAATTGCTGGATCTTGATGACGAAGAGCTGCGTCAAATGGAGTACAAGCAAACAGGCAAGCGCAAGAACCGACTCAATGATGAAGATACAGCAGCTCCACGACCGCGTGCAGTGCGTCAACGACCAGGACTAGAAGAGTCAAGCGCGCCGGAAAACAACTCGTCACGACAAGAAGAAGACGAAGAAACGAAGGATTCTGGTGATTCAACACCGCCTGTGTTTTGGCGTGCGAGTGCAAATGCCGTTGAAGCAGCAGTGGACTTATCAGAGCCCTCAACATTTGAAGCAGCAGTAAGCGGCCCTGACCAAGTGCACTGGAGAAAAGCAATTCATGCAGAGCTCGAGTCAATGCGACTTCGCGGTGTGTTTCGTGCAGCCAAGCTGCCCAACGGACAACGCGCCATTGGCACAAAATGGGTGTTCAAGATCAAGCGTAAAGCGGATGGATCCATCGAGAAGTACAAGGCACGTCTCGCGGCAAAGGGCTTTCGCTCGAAGTATGGAATCGACTACACGGAGACGTTTTCTCCCGTGGTCAAGCATGTGACGCTGAGAATGGTGATCGCAATTTCCAAGCATTTTGGATGGCCCATCGACCAGCTTGATGTGGTGACAGCTTTCCTGTATGGCGTCATGAAGGAACAAGTGTTCTGCGTGATTCCTGAAGGCGTCGAACTTGACAGTACGTTCGACTGCCTGGAATTGGTGAAGTCAATTTACGGCCTCAAGCAAGCGTCGCGAGTGTGGAACGAGACGTTCGACGAGTATGTGTGCTCCATCGGATTTCAAGTATCGGACTTCGACCCATGTCTCTACATCAAGACTTCGGACGGCCATTGCGTGTTTATACTGGTCTACGTGGACGACGTCTTGGTGACTGGAAGCTCACTCGAGCTGATTGCACAAACCAAGAACGACCTGAAGACGCGGTTCGAAATGACGTACAGCGGCAAGTGTGCGTTTGTTCTTGGGATCGAGCTTTTGGACGGTGAAGATGGCAGTGTGACACTATGTCAGCGTCGGTATGTCGATGATATCCTCAAGCGCTTTGGCATGGATGATTGCAAGGCAGTCGCAAGTCCAGTCGACATGAGCTCTCGACTTGTTTCAAGTGATGCAACTACCAAGGTCGATGCTCCTTTTCGCGAAGCTGTTGGTGCGTTGATGCACCTGACCACCGCAACGCGTCCGGACATTGCGTTTGCTGTGGGCTATGTGTCGCGGTTCATGGAAAATCCCCAAGAAGAACACTGGGTTGCAGTTAAGCGTATCTTTCGCTACCTACAAGGCACCAAGACGCATGGAATTTGCTACAAGCCAAGTGCAAGGATCGACTTCCGTGGATATTCGGATGCGGATTGGGCTGGTGATCTTACCGACCGCAAGTCAACATCGGGGTACACGTTCATGCTACTCGGTGCGCCAGTCTGTTGGGGCAGCAAGAAGCAGCCAAGTGTTTCGTTGTCCACGAGTGAAGCCGAATACATCGCACTCAGCTTGGCGATTCAAGAGGGCAAGTGGATTCATCGTCTGCTTTGTGAGATCGTGATGGCTGCCAATGAAGAAGGACCGGAACTCATGATCCATGAAGACAATCAGTCGTGTATCAAGATGACGAAGAACCCAGTCAACCACGGCCGTGCCAAGCACATTGATATCAAGTACCATCACATCCGTGATGAGGTCAAGCGCGGTGAAGTGAAGCTCAAGTACTGTGAAACTGCGGTGATGTTAGCGGACATCATGACGAAGGGACTTCACGGGCCACGCCACAAGGAGATGACGGCGACTCTCGGGATTCGTGAGCATTCGGATTGAGGGGGCGTGTTGACGGTCATCGGTTTTCTACCAGTATTGGTAACCGTGACCGATCCAATCCGAACCGCCTGTTCAGCTTAGTATTTACGACGTAGTTCTTACGGTAATTACCATAGTTGATTAGACGCGTAGGATGATGAGACGCTTCACATGATTTATATGTACACCACATATAAATCATGTAGTAAGTAGTAAGCCCCGATAATCAATCACTTTCGAATCTTCCAACTATTGGGCAAGTGTTTTCTGCTCTACTCTCTTCGGTCTCTCCGCTCCGTTTGCTCCGCTTTCCTCGCTCCGATCTACAATGCAACAGCGGCCATCAAAGGTGTGGGGACCATCGTGGAAAAGGTGATTCTTGTTGAAAAGACAGCGGCTGTGAAGAAGACACCTCGTCAAGCTGCGTCAAGGGTTGAAGCAAGTGGAAGACCAAGCTTCGCTATACCGGTGGGTACCGGTATGTACCAGTAAGGGCGAAGTCAGGAAATGACGTCATTGGATGACGTCAGTGGGTGACGTCACTGGATGACGTCACTGCGAATAATAGGCTTAGAGGTAGTATTCAAAGTTGCGAACTAAGTACCTATTATAAATATATATTCACTTTGCGTTTTGCACTCGGACCAAGAAGTCTAAAGTTCATCAGGTTATGAGCCCAAGTTCGTCAGACTCTGAAACCGCCAACAATTCAAGCTTAGCTGCCATGGACGCCTCCTCCCTCCGCATCTCCAAGTTCGATGGAACTAACTTCCACGCCTGGAAGTTCAAGATGCAGATGGTGCTGGAGGAACGGGACCTATGGGAGGTCGTCAGCGGTGAGATCAAGGCGGAACAGTGCGAGACTCAGTTGGACCAAGCGACGTACAAGAGGAAGTCAAGAAAGGCGATGGCAGTGATCTGTCTAGCCATGGAAGATTCCCAGCTACCGTTGGTCCGGTCGGCAAGTGGTGCATGCGACGCATGGTCAAGGTTGGAAGACCACTTCGAGAAGAAGAGTCTTGCCAACAAGCTGTTCTTGCGCCGTCGCTTCTTCACGACAATGATGGAAGAAGGCGACGATGTGCTCGAACACATCAACAAGCTCAAGACGCTGGCGGAACAGCTAGAAGCGGTGGGGGCTCCAGTCTGCGAGGACGATCTGGTGATCACACTTCTCGGCAGCCTGAGTGACTCGTATCAATTCTTGATCACAGCTTTGGAGTCGCGCTCAGACACTCTTAGCTGGGAGCTCGTGACGTCTCGACTGCTTCATGAAGAAATGAAGCGGAAGGAGCAAGGAAGTAAAGGTGATGAAGCTTCGCAAGGTCAAGCGTTCATCACAAGGGACAATCAGCGCAAAGGGCGACCAGTGAAGAAGTCCTGGCCGTGTCACAATTGCGGAAAGATTGGTCACTGGATGGCGGAGTGCCCCTCGCGCATCCAAGAAAACACGGAGAGACACCGGCCACAGCGTGCTCAAGACAGCGGCGACCGCTATCGATCACAACGTGCAAACGTCGCTCAAGAAGAAGACTCGGGCGACTACCTTTTTTCGATCGGTGAAACGACATCTGCGAAATCGAGCGACATCTGGCTGGTCGACTCCGGGGCGACGCAGCACATGACGTGCTCCAAGAAGTTCATGCGGAACTACAAGGGGTTTGACGCTGTGGATGTCCATCTCGCGGATGATGGAATCGTTCAAGCAATCGGCAGTGGGGACATTGTCATGTCGATGAAGACACCCCAAGGGATGAAGAAAGGTGTGCTCACAAACGTGTGGCACATCCCAAAGTTATCCAGAAACCTGTTCTCGGTCGGCCGCTTCACCAAGGATGTCGGCCCAGTGACGTTCACGAAGGATGGGTGCTATGGAGAAGCGAAAGGGACCAAGTGGAAAATTGGTGCCCGTGAAGGTAAAGGACTGTTCAAGCTACAAATGACTCCAGTGGCGCCGGAACAAGCAAATGCAGCCAAGTCGTCGGGATGTCAAGGGGGCACCAAGTCGTACCTCTGGCACCTTCGGCTTGGCCACATAGGTCACGATGGACTCAATTGCATCGTGACGAAGAACATTGGAATTGGCATCGACATATCTTCGGTGAAGAAGTGGGATGTGTGTGAAGGTTGTGCTCTGGGAAAACAGACTCGAGTGCGCTTCCAATCAAACACTACAGCTCGCACCTCCAAACTCCTCGAAGTGATTCACAGCGACGTATGCGGACCGATGTCGATGGCAACTTTCAGTGGAAAACGGTACTTCGTGACATTCATCGATGACAAGTCAAGATACTGTGTCGTCTATCTGCTCAAGAGCAAATCTGAAGTTGCGGCGAAGTTCATGGAATACGCTGCGATGGCCGAAACGCAAACCGGAAAGCGCGTGAAGTACCTTCAAAGCGACAATGGGGGGTGAATACAAGTCCGACAAGCTGGCACGATTCTGCGCGGAACGGGGAATACAACAAAGGTTCACAACCCCATATACTCCTCAGCTAAACGGAGTAGCTGAGAGAATGAATCGCACGCTGGTCGAGTGTGCGCGTTGCATGATGGAACACGCTGGACTGGGAAAGAGCTACTGGGGTGAAGCAGTGATGACGGCGATGTTTCTTCGAAACCGCTGTCCAACACGTGCCATTCACCAAGACAAGTCTCCATATCAAGTGTGGACGATGAAGAAACCGATTCTGGCCAACCTTAAAGTGTTTGGATGCCACGCGTATGTTCAAGTGCCTCAAGACAAACGCGCGAAGTTCGACTCCAAGTCATCACTCTGTCGTTTCCTGGGATACGCCGAACACCAGAAGTCATATCGATTTGAGGAAGTGTCAACAGGAGCGATCAAGATCAGTCGCGATGCCACATTCATGGAAGACAAGTTTGATGAAGGTCCGCGCAACTACAACGATGAGTCAAGTGCCGTTGAGTTTGATGATCAAGACGAGGACGAAGAAAAGAAGAAGGTAAAACTGACGTCGACATGGACTCGAGCGACGATGACAACGAAGACACCAGGTCTTCGAAGAGCAACATCAAGAGACACACGCGCACTCAATCACTTGAGAAAGCTACCGTCATTCCAAGTCCCAAGCGAAGAACGTACAGATGTCCGTCGCTTGAGCATGTGTCAGCGGCTGCAATGGATTTTGAAGCAGCCTACATCGTTGATTCAGTGGGGAAACGCCGACTACATTCAAGTCGGCGATGGAATCAAGCGACTCCGGCAAGTGGAAAGAAGCGTGTGACTCGGAGTTCGACTCGCTTCAGAGAAACGACACGTGGGAAATCGTGCCTCTTCCGAAAGGTCGCAAGGCCATCGGGTGCCGATGGGTTTTTCGTGTAAAGGAGAATCAAGATGGCGAAGTTGAACGTTTCAAGGCAAGACTTGTGGCCAAAGGATTCTCACAGAAATTCGGAGTTGACTATGAAGAAACTTTCGCACCGGTGGCCAAGTTCACATCGATTCGTGTGGTGCTCAGTATGGCGGCCAAGTACGGCCTAATGCTACATCAGATGTGATGAACTTTAGACTTCTTGGTCCGAGTGCAAAACGCAAAGTGAATATATATTTATAATAGGTACTTAGTTCGCAACTTTGAATACTACCTCTAAGCCTATTATTCGCAGTGACGTCATCCAGTGACGTCACCCACTGACGTCATGCAATGACGTCATCCAGTGACGTCATTTCCTGACTTCGCCCTTACTGGTACATACCGGTACCCACCGGTATAGCGAAGCTTGGTCTTCCACTTGCTTCAACACTTGACGCAGCTTGACGAGGTGTCTTCTTCACAGCCGCTGTCTTTTCAACACTCCCTCTCGACTCGTTAGCTGCGGCACCTTGGATCCCAAGTCGATCGCGAATGTTTTCAAATTGTACAGCGGCGATCGGCTTGGTCATCATGTCTGCCAGCATATCTTGAGTCGGGCAATACTCCAAAACGACTTCACCTGATTCCACCTTCTCACGCACAAAATGGTAGCGTATGTCGATGTGTTTTGTTCTCTTATGGAACTCCGGGTTCTTGGCGAGAGCGATTGATCCTTGGTTGTCTTCATACATCTTGATCGCTTCGTCGCTTGTCATCTCACCAAGTTCCCCCAAAAGCACTTTGAGCCATACTGCTTCTTTGGTTGCTTCGGAAAGCGCCATGTATTCTGCTTCTGTTGAAGATAGCGCGACCGTCCGTTGTTTCTGGCTTTTCCAGCTGATGCATCCTCCGCTCATCATGAACACATAGCCGCTTGTACTTCGTCCTGACTCAATGTCGCCGGCCCAGTCTGCGTCGGTGTACCCGCAGATACGGCTTCCTTCTTCACGTGTAAACTCAAGACCATGATTGGGCGTTGCTTGCAGGTATCTCAGCACACGCTTCAAAGCTTGCCAGTGAGTCGGGCATGGGTCGGACGAGAACTGGGATAATGATCCCACTGCAGCAGCTAGATCCGGACGTGTGGCGACCATGAGATACATGATGCCTCCGACAGCACTTCGATATGGCACGTTGCACATGGTGTCTTCGTGCTTGCATTCTTGTTCACACATGTTCTTGGTTAGCTTCAGGCCGGGATCTTGAGGCGTCTTCACTGGCTTGCTGTTATCCATTCCGAACTTGGTCAACACGGACTTGAGAAACTTGGTTTGTTGCACAGTCACCATTCCCGTCTTACGGTCGTTCTTGATCTCCATGCCGAGAAAGTAATCGAGCTCACCGAGATCCGTCATTTCGAAGCGTTTGCTCAGCGCCATCTTGGTCGACTTGAGGAGTTCGTTGTTGCTGCTGGCCAGGATGAGATCATCGACGTAGAGCACCACGAGAATCATGTCTTGGTCGTCTCGCTTGATGTAGATGCAGTGGTCCGATTCGCACTTCTTGAATCCCATCTTGATCATGAACCCATCGATTGTTTGGTTCCACATGCGAGGCGATTGCTTCAAGCCGTAGAGTGATCTCTTTAGCTTGCACACATAGTCCGGCTGTGTTGCATCCAGGTATCCGTCCGGCTGGTCCATGTAGATGTCTTCGTTGAGGGAGCCGTTAAGAAACGCTGTCTTGACGTCCATCTTGTTGAAAAGACAGCGGCTGTGAAGAAGACACCTCGTCAAGCTGCGTCAAGTGTTGAAGCAAGTGGAAGACCAAGCTTCGCTATACCGGTGGGTACCGGTATGTACCAGTAAGGGCGAAGTCAGGAAATGACGTCACTGGATGACGTCATTGCATGACGTCAGTGGGTGACGTCAGTGGGTGACGTCACTGGATGACGTCACTGCGAATAATAGGCTTAGAGGTAGTATTCAAAGTTGCGAACTAAGTACCTATTATAAATATATATTCACTTTGCGTTTTGCACTCGGACCAAGAAGTCTAAAGTTCATCAGGGCCGACATCCTTGGTGAAGCGGCCGACCGAGAACAGGTTTCTGGATAACTTTGGGATGTGCCACACGTTTGTGAGCACACCTTTCTTCATCCCTTGGGGTGTCTTCATCGACATGACAATGTCCCCACTGCCGATTGCTTGGACGATTCCATCATCCGCGAGATGGACATCCACAGCGTCAAACCCCTTGTAGTTCCGCATGAACTTCTTGGAGCACGTCATGTGCTGCGTCGCCCCGGAGTCGACCAGCCAGATGTCGCTCGATTTCGCAGATGTCGTTTCACCGATCGAAAAGAGGTAGTCGCCCGAGTCTTCTTCTTGAGCGACGTTTGCACGTTGTGATCGATAGCGGTCGCCGCTGTCTTGAGCACGCTGTGGCCGGTGTCTCTCCGTGTTTTCTTGGATGCGCGAGGGGCACTCCGCCATCCAGTGACCAATCTTTCCGCAATTGTGGCACGGCCAGGACTTCTTCACTGGTCGCCCTTTGCGCTGATTGTCCCTTGTGATGAACGCTTGACCTTGCGAAGCTTCATCACCTTTACTTCCTTGCTCCTTCCGCTTCATTTCTTCATGAAGCAGTCGAGACGTCACGAGCTCCCAGCTAAGAGTGTCTGAGCGCGACTCCAAAGCTGTGATCAAGAATTGATACGAGTCACTCAGGCTGCCGAGGAGTGTGATCACCAGATCGTCCTCGCAGACTGGAGCCCCCACCGCTTCTAGCTGTTCCGCCAGCGTCTTGAGCTTGTTGATGTGTTCGAGCACATCGTCGCCTTCTTCCATCATTGTCGTGAAGAAGCGACGGCGCAAGAACAGCTTGTTGGCAAGACTCTTCTTCTCGAAGTGGTCTTCCAACCTTGACCATGCGTCGCATGCACCACTTGCCGACCGGACCAACGGTAGCTGGGAATCTTCCATGGCTAGACAGATCACTGCCATCGCCTTTCTTGACTTCCTCTTGTACGTCGCTTGGTCCAACTGAGTCTCGCACTGTTCCGCCTTGATCTCACCGCTGACGACCTCCCATAGGTCCCGTTCCTCCAGCACCATCTGCATCTTGAACTTCCAGGCGTGGAAGTTAGTTCCATCGAACTTGGAGATGCGGAGGGAGGAGGCGTCCATGGCAGCTAAGCTTGAATTGTTGGCGGTTTCAGAGTCTGACGAACTTGGGCTCATAACCTGATGAACTTTAGACTTCTTGGTCCGAGTGCAAAACGCAAAGTGAATATATATTTATAATAGGTACTTAGTTCGCAACTTTGAATACTACCTCTAAGCCTATTATTCGCAGTGACGTCATCCAGTGACGTCACCCACTGACGTCACCCACTGACGTCATGCAATGACGTCATCCAGTGACGTCATTTCCTGACTTCGCCCTTACTGGTACATACCGGTACCCACCGGTATAGCGAAGCTTGGTCTTCCACTTGCTTCAACACTTGACGCAGCTTGACGAGGTGTCTTCTTCACAGCCGCTGTCTTTTCAACAAGATGGACATCAAGACAGCGTTTCTTAACGGCTCCCTCAACGAAGACATCTACATGGACCAGCCGGACGGATACCTGGATGCAACACAGCCGGACTATGTGTGAAAGCTAAAGAGATCACTCTACGGCTTGAAGCAATCGCCTCGCATGTGGAACCAAACAATCGATGGGTTCATGATCAAGATGGGATTCAAGAAGTGCGAATCGGACCACTGCATCTACATCAAGCGAGACGACCAAGACATGATTCTCGTGGTGCTCTACGTCGATGATCTCATCCTGGCCAGCAGCAACAACGAACTCCTCAAGTCGACCAAGATGGCGCTGAGCAAACGCTTCGAAATGACGGATCTCGGTGAGCTCGATTACTTTCTCGGCATGGAGATCAAGAACGACCGTAAGACGGGAATGGTGACTGTGCAACAAACCAAGTTTCTCAAGTCCGTGTTGACCAAGTTCGGAATGGATAACAGCAAGCCAGTGAAGACGCCTCAAGATCCCGGCCTGAAGCTAACCAAGAACATGTGTGAACAAGAATGCAAGCACGAAGACACCATGTGCAACGTGCCATATCGAAGTGCTGTCGGAGGCATCATGTATCTCATGGTCGCCACACGTCCGGATCTAGCTGCTGCAGTGGGATCATTATCCCAGTTCTCGTCCGACCCATGCCCGACTCACTGGCAAGCTTTGAAGCGTGTGCTGAGATACCTGCAAGCAACGCCCAATCATGGTCTTGAGTTTACACGTGAAGAAGGAAGCCGTATCTGCGGGTACACCGACGCAGACTGGGCCGGCGACATTGAGTCAAGACGAAGTACAAGCGGCTATGTGTTCATGATGAACGGAGGATGCATCAGCTGGAAAAGCCAGAAACAACGGACGGTCGCGCTATCTTCAACAGAAGCAGAATACATGGCGCTTTCCGAAGCAACCAAAGAAGCAGTATGGCTCAAAGTGCTTTTGGGGGAACTTGGTGAGATGACAAGCGACGAAGCGATCAAGATGTATGAAGACAACCAAGGATCAATCGCTCTCGCCAAGAACCCGGAGTTCCATAAGAGAACAAAACACATCGACATACGCTACCATTTTGTGCGTGAGAAGGTGGAATCAGGTGAAGTCGTTTTGGAGTATTGCCCGACTCAAGATATGCTGGCAGACATGATGACCAAGCCGATCGCCGCTGTACAATTTGAAAACATTCGCGATCGACTTGGGATCCAAGGTGCCGCAGCTAACGAGTCGAGAGGGAGTGTTGAAAAGACAGCGGCTGTGAAGAAGACACCTCGTCAAGCTGCGTCAAGGGTTGAAGCAAGTGGAAGACCAAGCTTCGCTATACCGGTGGGTACCGGTATGTACCAGTAAGGGCGAAGTCAGGAAATGACGTCATTGGATGACGTCAGTTGGTGACGTCACTGGATGACGTCATTGCATGACGTCACTGGATGACGTCACTGCGAATAATAGGCTTAGAGGTAGTATTCAAAGTTGCGAACTAAGTACCTATTATAAATATATATTCACTTTGCGTTTTGCACTCGGACCAAGAAGTCTAAAGTTCATCAATTCTGCCAAACGGGGAAGAGCGCGAGATCGAGATCAAGAACGCGCTCTATGTGCCCAGCATGAGCAAAAATCTGCTCTCGGTGCCGCAGATTAACAAGCACGGCAACTTCCAAGTGGTGTTTGACGGGGATACGATGTACGTCGCTCGCAAGGATTCCAATCAAGTGGTGGCAGCTGCGGATCTTGTAGACGGACTCTACTGGCTTCGCACGACGCAGCGATCGGCCAATGCGACATCACTCAGCAACGCTGTTGATCTACATGCGCGAATGGGCCATGCTCCAGTCGACGTGCTTCGCAGGATGGTGACAAGCCACATGATCAAGGACGCTCACATCCCTTCCAAGCCGAATGGATCAAGTGTGTGTCGAGGATGCCAAGAAGGGAAGATGGTCCAAAAACCATTCCCGAGCAACCGTGACAAGCGCACCTACAACACCTTCGAGATGCTCCACTTCGACATCTGCGGACCCATGGAAGAAAAATCTCTGGGTGGCAGCAAGTATCTGCTGCTGATCGTGGATGAAGCCAGCGGATGCATGAAGGGTTTTTGTCTGCATTCCAAGTCAGAGAGCGAAGAGTGCATCAAGAAGTACATCACGATGATACAGACGCAGTTCAACAAGAAGGTCAAATTTGTGCGACACGATGGAGCCCGCGAGTTTGCGACGAACTCGCTTCAAGATTTCTACGAAGTCGAAGGCATCGAGCAACAAACCACGGTGCCATACGCACATCAAGCCAATGGAACTGCTGAACGCGCGATTCGAACTATCGTCACCATCGGTCGTAGCATGCTTCATCATGCCAAGTTGGACAAGTGCTTCTGGGCTGAAGCGGCAATGACGGCCGTCTATGTGAAGAACCGTTTGCCGTCACCCAAGATTCCACACAAGATACCGTTCGAGATTGTCTACAATTCTAAGCCAAGTCTAAGAGAAAACGAAGCGGAGAGACCGGAGAGAACGAAGCAGAGAACTCTTGCTCACTTGAGGGAGGATTCGAAAGTGATTGATTTATAGGTCTTAACTTCTGCCTACCCTAGACTGCATCCAATCACATGGTGCATCTAATCAACCTGATTTACACGCGTCCAATCATCCTACGCGTCTAATCATCTCTGAGGTAATTACCGATGTAAAAACTATCTCGTAAGAACTACGCGCTAGGTTCGGATTGTACCGGTAACCCTCAATACGCCCCCTCAATCCGAACACGCACGGATGCCAAGCGCCGCCGTCAAGTCCTTGTGACGCGGTCCGTGAAGTCCCTTCGTCATGATGTCCGCCAACATCAACGTCGTCTCGCAGTATTCAAGCTTCACTTCGCCGCGCTTGACTTCATCACGGATGTGATGGTACTTGATGTCGATGTGTTTAGCGCGGCCGTGGTTGACCGGATTCTTCGTCATCTTGATGCACGACTGGTTGTCTTCACGGATGACGAGCTCGGGTCCTTCTTCGTTTGCAGCCGCCATGATCTCGCACAGCAAGCGATTGATCCACTTGCCTTCTTGGATCGCCAGGCTGAGCGCGATGTACTCCGCTTCGCTTGTAGACAGTGACACACTTGGCTGTTTCTTGCTGCCCCAACTCACCGGAGCACCCAATAGCATGAAGACGTAGCCGGACGTCGATTTGCGATCAGCAAGGTCACCGGCCCAGTCTGCATCTGAATAGCCACGAAAGTCGATCTTCGCACTTGGCTTGTAGCAGATTCCATGCATCTTGGTGCCTTGTAGGTAGCGGAAGATGCGCTTGACTGCAACCCAGTGTTCTTCTTGGGGTTTCTCCATGAACCGTGACACAAAGCTTACAGCATAGGCGATGTCCGGTCGCGTTGCAGTCGTCAGATGCATCAAAGCACCCACTGCTTCACGGAATGGGACATCCACCTTGCTTGCAGAGTTGCTCGGAACCAGTCGAGAGCTGACGTCCACCGGACTTGCCACAGCCTTGCACTCATCCATTCCAAAGCGCTTGAGGATATCATCGACATACCGACGCTGACATAGTGTCACACTGCCATCTTCACCGTCCAAAAGCTCGATCCCAAGAACAAACGCACACTTGCCGCTGTCCGTCATTTCGAACCGCGTCTTCAGGTCGTTCTTGGTTTGTGCAATCAGCTCGAGTGAGCTTCCAGTCACCAAGACGTCGTCCACGTAGACCAGTATAAACACGCAATGGCCGTCCGAAGTCTTGATGTAGAGACATGGGTCGAAGTCCGATACTTGAAATCCGATGGAGCACACATACTCGTCGAACGTCTCGTTCCACACTCGCGACGCTTGCTTGAGGCCGTAAATTGACTTCACCAATTCCAGGCAGTCGAACGTACTGTCAAGTTCGACGCCTTCCGGAACAGCGCAGAACACCTTCTCCTTCATCACTCCATACAGGAACGCAGTCACCACATCGAGCTGGTCGAGGGGCCATCCAAAGTGCTTGGTAATGGCGATGACCATTCGCAGCGTCACATACTTGACCACGGGCGAGAACGTCTCCGTGTAGTCGATGCCATACTTTTGGCGAAAACCCTTGGCCACAAGTCGTGCCTTGTATTTCTCGATCGACCCATCCGCCTTGCGCTTGATCTTGAAGACCCACTTTGTGCCAATGGCACTTTGTCCGTTGGGTAACTTGGCCGCACGAAAGACACCGCGAAGCTTCATCGAATCGAGCTCCGCATCAATTGCCTTGCGCCAGTGTACTTGGTCCGGGCCAGACACTGCTTCTTCAAATGTCGACGGCTCCGAAAAATCGACCGCTGCTTCGACGGCGTTTGCACTCGCATGCCAAAACGCGGAGGAAGTCGGTGTGTCATGTTGTTCCTCCGACTTCCTTTCTTCATCTTCGTTGGCTCGACGTGAAGAGAGGTCATCCGGCGCACTTGACTCTTCTAATCCGGGTCGTTGGCGCACTGCTCGGGGCATGCTTGCGTCGTCATTGTCGTGAATGGGTTGGGCCTTGCGCTTTCCTGTTTGTTTGAAGTGTCTCGGACGCGGTTCTTCATCATCAAGATCGATCGATTCGAAGTCCAGGCCATCAACATCGTCATCGGAAATCAGCATCGACATTCCAAAGGCCGACTCATCGAAGTTGACATCGCGACTTATCATCACCTGCCCCGCTTCGATGTCATAAACTCGATACGCCTTGGACACTTCTTCGTAGCCCAAAAACAATCCAGCCCGGGCCTTGGGATCCCACTTGAGTCGTTTCTCCTTCGGGGTCAAGATGTATGCTTGGCACCCAAAAACGCGCATGTGCTTGACACTTGGCTTAGAACTGTAGACAATCTCGAACGGTGTCTTGTGTGGAATCTTGGGTGACGGCAAACGGTTCTTCACATAGACGGCCGTCATTGCCGCTTCAGCCCAGAAGCACTTGTGCAACTTGGCATGGTGAAGCATGCTGCGGCCGATCGTGACGATAGTTCGAATCGCGCGTTCAGCAGTTCCATTGGCTTGATGTGCGTATGGCACCGTGGTTTGTTGCTCGATGCCTTCGACTTCGTAGAAATCTTGAAGCGAGTTCGTCGCAAACTCGCAAGCTCGTCGTGGCGCACAAATCTTGACCTTCTTGCTGAACTGCGTCTGCATCATCGTGATGTACTTCTTGATGCACTCTTCGCTCTCTGACTTGGAATGCAGACAAAAACCCTTCATGCATCCGCTGGCTTCATCCACGATCAGCAGCAGATACTTGCTGCCACCCAGAGATTTTTCTTCCATGGGTCCGCAGATGTCGAAGTGGAGCATCTCGAAGGTGTTGTAGGTGCGCTTGTCACGGTTGCTCGGGAATGGTTTTTGGACCATCTTCCCTTCTTGGCATCCTCGACACACACTTGATCCATTCGGCTTGGAAGGGATGTGAGCGTCCTTGATCATGTGGCTTGTCACCATCCTGCGAAGCACGTCGACTGGAGCATGGCCCATTCGCGCATGTAGATCAACAGCGTTGCTGAGTGATGTCGCATTGGCCGATCGCTGCGTCGTGCGAAGCCAGTAGAGTCCGTCTACAAGATCCGCAGCTGCCACCACTTGATTGGAATCCTTGCGAGCGACGTACATCGTATCCCCGTCAAACACCACTTGGAAGTTGCCGTGCTTGTTAATCTGCGGCACCGAGAGCAGATTTTTGCTCATGCTGGGCACATAGAGCGCGTTCTTGATCTCGATCTCGCGCTCTTCCCCGTTTGGCAGAATCACCTTTTCCACGATGGTCCCCACACCTTTGATGGCCGCCTTGTTGCCATCAGCCACCAGGATCTCGCCATCATTGCCTTCGACCAAGCTTGCAAACTTGAACTTGTCGTGGCAGATGTGATGTGTTGCCCCGCTGTCAACGGCCCACATTCCTGGTCCATTCTTGTTCGTCGAAACTCCGCATTCGAACGAAACTGCAAACGCCACTCGATCGTAGCTGTTGCCTTCATCATAATGTCGCCAGTGGACATTGTTTGCCCCGCGTCGACGACCATTGCCGCCGCGTTGGGCTCCTCGACTTTCATCCTTTTGCTTCGTCCAGCAACGCTCTGCCGTGTGCCCCACCTTGCCGCAGTATGTGCATTGGTAGGGCTTGCGCTCGGTACTGAATGCCTTTGTCGCATCTTCAGTCTTCACCGTTGTCGTTGCCGTTGTCATCTTCTCGCCTTGTCGCTTGATGTGCTCGTTAGTCAGCACCTTGACCACATCTTGCGTGCGCAGCTCTGCATTGCTCATCTCCAAGTTGAGAACCACGTTCTCGAAACTATTGGGCAGACTGCGCAGTAAGCAGATCGCAACGTCTTCGTCTTCCATCTTGGCACCGATGCTGCTGAGCTTGGCGCCGATGTTCAAGACTTCGTTGCAATGGTGCAAGACGTTGGCACCTTCCGCCATCTTGATGCTGAACAGCTGGCGCTTGAGGTAGATGCGTCCCGCCTTCTGCGACCCACCATAGAGCATCTTCAACCGCGACCACGCTGTCCATGCTTCTTCACAGTTGTCGACCACATGGTGGTAGTCGGCGTCCATGTGGAGCAACATCAACCCGAACGCGATGTTGCTCGCCTTGACGTACTCGTCGGAAGCTCGCGTGTCGGTGAAGGTTGGAGACGTTTCGCGGTTCACGACGTACCAGACTGACTTCGTCAGAAACACGCCGCGCATGTAGCGACACCAGGTTGAGTAGTTGTCCCCATCGAACTTATCGATGGAGACACTGGGCGAGGTGTTGTTGGACGACATGGCGCTTGGGCTCATAACCTGTTGTAACTTGAGCGCGAGGCGAAGAGAAAACGAAGCGGAGAGACCGGAGAGAACGAAGCAGAGAACACTTGCTCACTTGAGGGAGGATTCGAAAGTGATTGATTTATAGGTCTTAACTTCTGCCTACCCTAGACTGCATCCAATCACATGGTGCATCTAATCAACCTGATTTACACGCGTCCAATCATCCTACGCGTCTAATCATCTCTGAGGTAATTACCGATGTAAAAACTATCTCGTAAGAACTACGCGCTAGGTTCGGATTGTACCGGTAACCCTCAATACTTGGCTTCCGGACTGAATGAAGCCGGCTTAAGGAGTAAGCGGCAAATTAGAAAGTGACAGCATTATGAGACCTTACTCTACCCACATCATAAATTGTATGTGGTCCACACCAAAGTTGACTGTACTTCACATGCTACATATCGAGCGTCGCTCACACAAACTTATTGTACGTTCTGCTCAAAAAATCTAGTGTAGCTCACACATGACTCATGTGTAGTTCAAACAAGACATGTGTGTAATGCACATGTGTGTCATGTGTAGATCACGCAAAATTTGTATGTAGCTCACGCGAAGATCATGTGCAGTTCACACATAAAAATGTAAAAATCATACAGGAATCATATGTAGATCACACAGAAAAACATACTATGATCATATGTTGTTCACACAAAAATCATAAGTAGTTCGCACATAAAACATATGTAGATCACAAAAAATCATATAATGATCATATGTTGCTCACAAATAAAACATAAGTAGTTCGCACATAAAACATGTGTAGATCGCAAAAATATCATACCATGATCATACGTGGTTCACACATAAATCATAAGTAGTTCGCACATAAAGCATGTGTAGATCACAAAAACATGTGCGGTTCATGTATAAAGCGTATGTGGTTCACGCAAAAATCATGTGCAGCTCACAAATTCATTGCGTGTGATCCACACGTGGACCATGTGAGTCTCTCAACTATCCTAGTCGCCTGATTAGCTTAAGGTAGCTTTTGCAAGTTATCGGGTAAGTTACTTTGTACCGGTTACCCTGCCCATCCGATCTCGCGTCATTCCGGTAAGTCTATGACGTCATCTCGGTGACGTCGCTTCTATTAGACGAGTAGAGTGATCGGACGCACACAAAATCGATGGATTAGATGCACCGTGTGATTGGATGCAGTTCAAAGTAGGCAGAGCTGAGACCTAAAATCAATCACTTCCAAACAGTCTCTCCTCCACTCAAATCCTCTGCACACTTCGGTGAAAACTTCTTTCGTGTTCCAAGCTTCTCTTCAAGTGTTCGTAACGATGCAACAGGTTATAAGCCCAAGTACCATGACTTCTACCCAAGATGCAAGACCAAGGTCTTCATTGATAGGTTCAATGGAGACACGCGACTTGAAGCCGTTACATGCGTGGCATGTTCCTTACCAAGTCAACATGGCATGTGGTGAACTAAGTATCCACTCTAACCTTCGCGGACCCTCGCGCGATGGACGAATAAGTCGATACCAGAAACATCGCCTTCGTGCTCATGTTATTGCGCATGGACGCAGACTACCATCACGTAGTTGACAATTGCGGAGAAGATGGGTGGCATGGACGCGGTTGAATGCGCTGTACAGCGGATCACACAAAGCTGGGCACGTTTACATTAAGCGCCAGCTCTTCAGTATGGAGATGGTGGAAGGCGCCAACGCATTGCATCACTGCAATGAAGTCCTGAACGTCAGTGTTAAGTTTTGCAGAATTGGGGCCAAGATGGAGGACGAGGACGTGGCGATCTGCTTGTTGCGCAGCCTCTCCGAGAGCTACAAAAACGTAAGTCTCAACTTGGAGATGACCAGCGCGGAACTGCGGACGCATGACTATGCGAAAATGCTCACGAGTAAGCATATCAAGAGAAAAGGCGAGAAGACAACGTCGGCTAATGCTGAAGAAGCAAGCAAGGCCTTCAATACCGAGCGTGAGTCTCGCTGGTGTACCTTCTGCGGAAATTCGGTGAATACGGTGGACCGGTGCTGAGCCAAGCAAAAGAAAGAAGACCAAGGATCCATGCGGTGGCAATTCCCGTGGACGAAGAGACCATCAAGTTCAGTGGAGAGAATGCAGCAACAATCGTGGCTACGATCGAGTAGCGTTTGCTGTTTCGCTTGAGTGCGAACTTAAGACGGATAAGGGCTAGTCCGGAATGTGGGTAGCAGACAGCGGTGCGACACACTATATCTGCTATGACAAGAATGAGTTCGCAGCTCTCAGTGGGCGCGATGAAGACGAATTGTCGGTTGTGCATGATAACAAGGCTGCGATAAAGGAAACCGGGACCATCATGGATCACGTTTGTCGCCGTTGGGCAGAACCAACGGCGACAAACGTGAGATTGAGATCAATATTGCGCTCTACGACCGAGTATGATCAAGAACCTTCTGTCTAATCCTTGGATTAGCAAGAGCAAGATAGTTACAAGTGATGTTCGATGATACCAAGATGCACATGACACTTAAGGGCAACATGCAAGTGGTGGCGATGGCAGAGTTCGTGGATGGATTGTACGGATAGATATCTACATCACGCAGATGATCTTCGATACTACCAAATGGATGGATGTCAAGTGTAGTAACACTGCAAAAAGGTCCTGGACACCACCGCCAAGATGAATAGCACAGACACCAAAATGGAGAAAGACGTGACGATCAGTTCGATCTGCAAGATTCGAAGATGTCAGATCACTTTATTCTGAACCTGGATGAGTATCACGAGACTGTAGACGCATTAAATTGAAAGGTGTTGATGAATGAGCTTATGGAGCAACAGAGGAAGAAAGCAGCAATGGTGGATGCGGGTAAATAGATACTTTAGTAAATAGTCTAGCATTAAACAAGAGGAAAATGGAAACAGGCAGTTGTAACAAGCTCAAAATCGCACCAAGCATCTTTTGTCGCTCTTACATCAGTGTTCATCTTAATACTTGATGTTGTTGAATGTTTTTGCATCTGCATTCGAGGTCAAGCTTTCATCAATTAATCATAATACTTCGCCAGTACTGCGTAGCTGGACTCCTAGATGCATTTTTTTCACACTAGTTTACATGCCAATCGTGCAATAAAATGTCAAGCAGACATCACCCTGTTTCTATTTAAATTTACACCATTTCGTCGTAAAAAGAATGTAGGTTGTCGAGAACGATGTTGATCACGTACGCCGAAATCATTATGCCGTAATCACAAAAAAGCCCATGACAAATTTCGTGGAATGAGGACAAGCTTGTCATGGTCAAATGCATCAAGCAAAAAGTTAAATATTGTACTGACTGATATAACTGTTAAATACGGGTTATTCAATGTTACTTACTTTTCAAATATGTCCTGCAAAAGATGTCTCAAACAAAGAGTCAGCTGCTGCGAAGGCAGGCTGCTCTTGGCTTCCGGACTGAATGAAGCCGGCTTAAGGAGTAAGCGGCAAATTAGAAAGTGACAGCATTATGAGACCTTACTCTACCCACATCATAGATTGTATGTGGTCCACACCAAAGTCGACTGTACTTCACATGCTACATATCGAGCGTCGCTCACACAAACTTATTGTACGTTCTGCTCAAAAAATCTAGTGTAGCTCACACATGAATCATGTGTAGTTCAAACAAGACATGTGTGTAATGCACATGTGTGCCATGTGTAGATCACGCAAAATTTGTATGTAGCTCACGCGAAGATCATGTGCAGTTCACACATAAAAATGTAAAAATCATACAGGAATCATATGTAGATCACACAGAAAAACATACTATGATCATATGTTGCTCACACACAAATCATAAGTAGTTCGCACATAAAACATGTGTAGATCACAAAAATATCATATAATGATCATATGTTGTTCACAAATAATCATAAGTAGTTCGCACATAAAACATGTGTAGATCACACAGAAAAACATACTATGATCATATGTTGTTCACACAAAAATCATAAGTAGTTCGCACATAAAACATATGTAGATCACAAAAAATCATATAATGATCATATGTTGCTCACAAATAAAACATAAGTAGTTCGCACATAAAACATGTGTAGATCGCAAAAATATCATACCATGATCATACGTGGTTCACACATAAATCATAAGTAGTTCGCACATAAAGCATGTGTAGATCACAAAAACATGTGCGGTTCATGTATAAAGCGTATGTGGTTCACGCAAAAATCATGTGCAGCTCACAAATTCATTGCGTGTGATCCACACGTGGACCATGTGAGTCTCTCAACTATCCTAGTCGCCTGATTAGCTTAAGGTAGCTTTTGCAAGTTATCGGGTAAGTTACTTTGTACCGGTTACCCTGCCCATCCGATCTCGCGTCATTCCGGTAAGTCTATGACGTCATCTCGGTGACGTCGCTTCTATTAGACGAGTAGAGTGATCGGACGCACACAAAATCGATGGATTAGATGCACCGTGTGATTGGATGCAGTTCAAAGTAGGCAGAGCTGAGACCTAAAATCAATCACTTCCAAACAGTCTCTCCTCCACTCAAATCCTCTGCACACTTCGGTGAAAACTTCTTTCGTGTTCCAAGCTTCTCTTCAAGTGTTCGTAACGATGCAACAGGTTATAAGCCCAAGTACCATGACTTCTACCCAAGATGCAAGACCAAGGTCTTCATTGATAGGTTCAATGGAGACACGCGACTTGAAGCCGTTACATGCGTGGCATGTTCCTTACCAAGTCAACATGGCATGTGGTGAACTAAGTATCCACTCTAACCTTCGCGGACCCTCGCGCGATGGACGAATAAGTCGATACCAGAAACATCGCCTTCGTGCTCATGTTATTGCACATGGACGCAGACTACCATCACGTAGTTGACAATTGCGGAGAAGATGGGTGGCATGGACGCGGTTGAATGCGCTGTACAGCGGATCACACAAAGCTGGGCACGTTTACATCAAGCGCCAGCTCTTCAGTATGGAGATGGTGGAAGGCGCCAACGCATTGCATCACTGCAATGAAGTCCTGAACGTCAGTGTTAAGTTTTGCAGAATTGGGGCCAAGATGGAGGACGAGGACGTGGCGATCTGCTTGTTGCGCAGCCTCTCCGAGAGCTACAAAAACGTAAGTCTCAACTTGGAGATGACCAGCGCGGAACTGCGGACGCATGACTATGCGAAAATGCTCACGAGTAAGCATATCAAGAGAAAAGGCGAGAAGACAACGTCGGCTAATGCTGAAGAAGCAAGCAAGGCCTTCAATACCGAGCGTGAGTCTCGCTGGTGTACCTTCTGCGGAAAATCGGTGAATACGGTGGACCGGTGCTGAGCCAAGCAAAAGAAAGAAGACCAAGGATCCATGCGGTGGCAATTCCCGTGGACGAAGAGACCATCAAGTTCAGTGGAGAGAATGCAGCAACAATCGTGGCTACGATCGAGTAGCGTTTGCTGTTTCGCTTGAGTGCGAACTTAAGACGGATAAGGGCTAGTCCGGAATGTGGGTAGCAGACAGCGGTGCGACACACTATATCTGCTATGACAAGAATGAGTTCGCAGCTCTCAGTGGGCGCGATGAAGACGAATTGTCGGTTGTGCATGATAACAAGGCTGCGATAAAGGAAACCGGGACCATCATGGATCACGTTCGTCGCCGTTGGGCAGAACCAACGGCGACAAACGTGAGATTGAGATCAATATTGCGCTCTACGACCGAGTATGATCAAGAACCTTCTGTCTAATCCTTGGATTAGCAAGAGCAAGATAGTTACAAGTGATGTTCGATGATACCAAGATGCACATGACACTTAAGGGCAACATGCAAGTGGTGGCGATGGCAGAGTTCGTGGATGGATTGTACGGATAGATATCTACATCACGCAGATGATCTTCGATACTACCAAATGGATGGATGTCAAGTGTAGTAACACTGCAAAAAGGTCCTGGACACCACCGCCAAGATGAATAGCACAGACACCGAAATGGAGAAAGACGTGACGATCGGTTTGATCTGCGAGATTCGAAGATGTCAGATCACTTTATTCTGAACCTGGATGAGTATCACGAGACTGTGGACGCATTACATTGAAAGGTGTTGATGAATGACCTTATGGAGCAACAGAGGAAGAAGGCAGCAATGGTGGATGCTGGTAAATAGATGCTTCAGTAATAAACGCGAATCTCGATACTCTGTGTACAGCGGTAAATTGGAGTACACATCGTGGGGAGCTAGCTGTACCAGCATAAGCTTAAGTACGACTATTGAGGAGATCCACGCAGCTTGTGCAGCTTGAGGGCATTGATCAATGTTCACTGAAAGATTATGATGAAGACAGCGAATACAATGAGAAACGCTTTGTCTTGTGGACATTGATGGATGTCAAAGGGTAAGAGGCTTTGTCGAGGAAGCTTGAAGAGCACGAAGGAAGTCTGCACATGAAGTGCAAACGACTTGAATAGGAGAAGATAGATTCGAAGGTGTTGATTCATCGGAGTTTATTCTGCTTGCACCCTGATGTATAAGCTGTCCACGTATATATCATGTAGGTCTTTCAATCGAGCTGCTCGTCTGATGAATTCTGATGTCGTTATCGTAAAATCGATGCTGTAAATACTACGCTTAAAGTTCGGATTCAAGGAGTGACCATCCAGACCACAAGAAGCCGCTCACGTAATCTCAACGAAGTTGGTGTGTCACGTTGTGACCAGAAACATCGCCGGCTTACGCTCACCCACTGGCACATGAGGGTGCATCGAATGTACCAGTGCTTCATTCTCAAGGTAGCCTGAGTGGCGTGGACGCCCTTCAAGAAGTTTTACGGCGACTGGCAGGAAGCAGGAAGGATGGCGCAATCCCCTTGAGACGCTGAATGAATAATGAGAAAGATCGAAGATAAAAAGCAGATCTAACTCTGCCTACGCAGCTAAGATGTCCACCTCCGATCATTGGTGCATCCAAATTCACTGCTCGTCGAAATGTTCGATTTGTCCGATCATCTCAGGCGTAGTTACCTTGAAAAGGTTGCCTTCAACTTGCAGTTCGGA